ATGCGTCTTTTGGAAAATTTCAAATCTTTGACTACTGGAAATTAGAAGTAGAATTAATTGCTGAGGGTGTATTATTGTCGACTAATCCTGTTGAACTAGTGAACCAAGTAACGCTTGGACCGAATGCTGCAATTCTTAGAGTGGATGTGATTGTGAAATCTGATGCTTTTATTTGGAGACCTGCTCCTGAAATGACCAAGATGGGTGATGCCCTACATGGGGGAATTGCATGGCCTATCGATAAGATACTACTACTTGATGAAGATTCACCAAAAGAATCAAACAAGAATTCTATTCAGGTATGTTTCTGCAACTTCTTATTTATTACTTAACTAAAGTAGTGTGATTCTTGTTGGTGTATGAACTTCTGTTTAGATGATAGTTGGATTCAATGATGATTGTGTTGATTGTCTTTGTTACTGTCTTTCGTTGTAGAGTGGTAGTAACAGCACTGGTGGTAGCAGCAAAGGTGGTAAACAGAAGTGCGCTCTCTTGGACTGTAATAACTTTGGAGAGAGAGTGGCTTTAGGTCGTGTGTTCTCAAGTGATCCAGAAGAAAAGGTGCATTTCGTCCCTTTAGGTCCCGATTCTTCTAAGGTTTGGGTAGAGGTTTCCGAGTTTCATGGGGCAAGAGTGTGGAGGCCAAACTCAGAAATTGAATTCATTGGTGATGCAATTGGAAGCACGGTCGCTTGGCCAAATGACAAGCTTGTTTTAATGTAAGAAAGATCTGTTGCTTTTGAACTTGTTATGCTATTATGCTAGTTGCAGCACACTTTGAACTACCAATGTTGATTTCTCTCCTTTTGTAATATTTGACCAGAATGTTTTAATGTTGAATCTTTGAAGTTTATGTTGCTTAATATAATGTCTGACAAACAAAAAATCGAGTATATATAAAAATAAATAAATATATATAAATTATAAAATGGAATATATAAATATTATAATTATTTAAATATGCTATATAATAGCATCAATATTATCAGCTATAATTTCAAAATAATATATATAGCATGAACTATTAATTGCTATATTTGAATTAAATATAACTTCTCAAAAACGCTGTTAATAATATAACTAATAACATTAATGACGCGCTATTAAAAAGGTTACTAATGCAAATAAAAAAGCGCTATCGATTCCGAAGAAAAGATAGCATCACGAAAAAGTGTTATCTAATGTGTCGTACCTACTATGACTGGCGATGATACAGCGTTCCTTAAACCGCTGTTGAATCGTTAGATAACGTTTTTCGTCCGCTAGTAAACCCCATTTTTCTTGTAGTGCACTGCTGAGACGGACACCACTGCTGAGACAAACCGCTGCTGAGACAAACACCGGTGGTGAGACAAACACCGCTGCTGAGACGGAGACTGGTGGTGAGACAAACACCACTCGTGAGACAAACATCGCTGCTGAGATGGATACCGGTGTCGATATGCCAGATATGGCAGTCGATATGGCAGATAAGTATGTTGAGCAGCTACCTGTGGTAAAAATTAGTCAGGTTATGGATAAATGGGAAGATGGAATGGGTATGAGTAAGTGTCAGGAATTTCCAAGCAAGAAATCAATTTAAGAGGCTGTGGATAGAGCCGCTTTTGGTGAATGCTTTCACTATGTTACTCAGAAATCGGATCGCAAACGATTGGTGATAGAATATGGTGTACCAAGCTGTAAATGGGGTTTGAGAGCTGCAAGGGTTCGAAATACATAAATCTTTTCTATTAGGAGGTACACGGGTGTGCATACATGTTGTCGGACTACTCAAAGAAATATCAGCAAGAGTAAGAGGAGAGGCTCAGCAGAATTAGTTGCTTCTTTTTTGAATGAGGAATTTCCAGGAAAAGTGAGAACTCATGTTCCGAAAGATATCATAGATCTGCTAAAGTTGAGACTTGGGGTAACAGTATAATACTCCATAGCATTGAGAGAGAAAAATCTAGCTATTTCTCATTTGCGTGGTAATTCAGAAGACTGCTATAGGATGCTTCCTAGCTACTTGTACATGTTAGAGCAGGTCAATCCAGAAACAAAAACAAGTTTGAAGTTGGATGAGACTGGTAAGTTCAAGTACCTCTTCATAGTGTTGGGAGCATGTATTGAAGGGTTTGCGGTCATGAGGAAAGTGATAGTTGTGGATGCCACATTTTTAAAGAACGGATATGGTGGTGTACTAGTATTTGCTAAAGCTCAAGATCCCAATCATCACCATTATCCCCTTGCTATTGGTGTACTCAACGGTGAGAATAAAGCTAGTTGGAATTGGTTTTTTGAGATGCTCAAAAGTGTTATACCAAACTCTTCTGAATTAGTTTTTATGAGCGATAGAAACCCGCACCTCATCATGGCTGTAGCAAATGTGTTTCCACAAGCTCACCATGGGCATTGTAGATGGCATTTAGCCCAAAATGTAGGAGGTCATGCTTGTAACACCAACAAATCCGTAGTCGGATGGAGATTTATGTAGTTAGCGAGGTGTTACAAGATGGCAGAATTTGAGTCTACTTATGCAACTTTTAAGGTGAGATATCCTTTAGCATACAAGTACGTGGAGGAGCAGACTCAGAAAGACACTTGGGCAAGGGTCTTTTTTCCACATGACCGATACAACTTGGATACTAACAAAAGTGTGGAGTCTATGAACATCACATTTAAGGACGCAAGGAGATATGCCTTAATACCAATGTTAGATACAATCATCAAACAATTCTCTGACTGGTTTAACGAGCATCGGAAGGACGCTGTGTATGGATCAATTGATACCAAACTGGTTCCTCTTGTCGAGATACACTTGCACAAACTATGGGCGAAAGCTGATAAAACACCAGTGCGTGAGTTAAATAGTTATGAGCTTGAGTTCGAGGTAACATACAAGGAAGTTGGGAAGCTATATTTGGTGAACTTGAGAGGGAAGACTTGTACTTGCAAGGTGTATGATTATGAAAAGTATCCTTGTCTACAAGGACTTGCTGCGTACTTGTATTTGCTTGACGTTCACGATGCTCCAGACTGTCGGCGTCGTGAGAAAATAGAGTATCATGAGTTGTGCACTGGGCAGAACTTTGGGCACATGCTTATTACAAGACCATCTATTCTGTCCCGGACATGTCTGATTGGAATGTCCCAGATTATATCAAAGAGATTCAGGTCATAGCTCCAGAGTGCCTCAAGAAGAAGGGGAGGAAAAGTGATAAGAGGAAGCCATCTCTGGGAGAATGGCGTAAAAGGACACAAAACAAAAGGCGAGTAAGGCAAAATTTCGGTTTCATTTGGTTGTTGTTTGGAAGGGAAAGTTATGCGCCTGAATGAAGCAACATATTTGGTTTCAATCTTACTTATATTGCCTCCTTGTGTTGTTGAACTTTTGGATTTTAGCTTATGTAAAATTATGGAATTCTGCGACTTACCAGTATGTTTGAATTATATTTTATGGAATTTATGTTAGATCCATCGATTAAGAATTTTATTTGATATAACACAATCCTTGCTGAGACTTTCTCTTATAAAAATTAAAACGTCAACTTAAAACAAATTTTAAATTAACATTTACGAAATAAGTGATTTTTTGAGACTTTCTCTTATACATTCCATTGTCTTTCCAATAACACTTTCTTAGTGACAACAACTTATAAAGAACTATTCTACGAAATGGTGATTTATAATATTTTATTGCACTAATCATGAATGATACATAGGCAAATGGCTAAAATCGAAAAGTAAAACTGCTATAATTGATTAAAGCTATAGGTAACACTAAAATCATTCAAAATCACAAAAAGTAGAACTATAAAGAACATTGGTAATACCACAAACTTCTGTAAAACTAAGTGCAAGTTTTAGGAGGGACAGTGTTGGCGCCTAAACAAATAAATCCAAAATATTTCAGCTTTTAAATGTTGGTCAGAAAAGCAGATTCCCTCTCTGCTCTCCTTGTGTTGTCGAGTCCTGACCTCCTTTCACTCACTCATTCCATTCTCTCTCTACCCTATCTTCTTAAATCTATCCTCTCACTCTTCTTTCTCAATTTCATTTTCCTTCCCCCAAACTTACTCAACTGAGACCTTTTCTTTCCTTTCCATCATGAATCATCCGTACCAAGAGATGAAGGATATGAAAAGGCTGAAACAACATTACGACATGCTAGGGTTTATTGCCGATGCACAGCATGGAATTCAAACCCGATGCCTATGTGGGGTCGAAATCAAGCAGGATGTTGTTTTGAAGGCAAAGTATCCTTCAGATTTCGACACCTTAGCTGGGAGTAGGTACTTCACCTGCAAGTCGTACGAGGTAATTTTTATCTCTGATTCAAACTATGTGATACTGAGTGAAACCGTATTATACTGAGTGAAACTACGTTGAGTAATTCTGGGTGAAACCCTGTTATACTTAGTGAAACTATGTTGAGTAATTATGGGTGAAACTGTGTTATATGGAGTGAAAATATGTTGAACGTGCAGGACGATGGGCTGCACTTTCGTCAGCCATGGGCTTTTGGTGTTGAGAAGGAAGTCGAGAAGTTAAGGACAGAGGTGAATGATATGGCTGAAGAGATTGCAAAGCTTAAGAGGCTTGTCAATGAGCACATCTCAGAAGAATGAGGTTTGCCTCGCTTATGTGTGTGTGTTTGCTTGAGATGACTCTCTCTGTTGTTTTTTGTTGTTATATGTTTCGGATAATACAAGTCTTTGTTTGTTAAGGCTTGTATGATAATAATGTGTCAAAACTTATGATATGCCTCCTTATGTTATGTTTAAGTGTTTGTTAAACTCTATTATGGAATGTTTAGTGTTTAGTGATAACATAATTCATTATCCACACACACAAAAAACAACAAATTGAGGTCAAACAACAAACAAACCTGGCCCACTCGACCCAACTCTCTCTCTTTTCCTTTAAAATCGTGTGTGAAACAACAAACAACACAACACAACCAAACCTCTCTCTCTCTTCTTCATTACTTCATTTAACAGAGAAATTAGGGTTCTTGAAACATGAAAGCCAAAATATCATGTTCCCGGAGAAAGAGAGACTTCCTTCGTGGTATTCCATCACACTGCTGGTGTGGAAACCCCGTCTTGGTATTTTTTTCGAAGACAACAAGGAATCCTTTTCGAAGATTATATCTTTGTGAAGTAGCTAGGATGGTATGTTTTGGCACTTTCGAAATTGAAGAAAATTTAATATTTTAGTTTGTTTGCTTTAACTGGATAATGCTTGTTGCAGAGAGAGGGTGAAACTCATCTCTTCAAGTGGTTTGATAAAACTTTGGTTGAAGAGGTTTCAATGGTTGAAGCAAGACAGACCACTATTGAAAAAGATTTAGAAGCCATGGTTACTGCAGAGTTTAGTGCAACTCGTGAAGTCAGAGAGAACACTGGATGTGTAAATGCTATTTCATGGCTTTGTTGTAAGTTTTGGTAATTGTCAATGGAGGTTGTCAATATTTGTTGTAAGACTTATGTCTATAGAACTATGTGTCTTGAGTACTATTATGTTGTCTTAGTTAATTTGTCTATGTTTCTACTTTTCAAGACAATTATCCAAAACAAACAAAAGCACTTAACTTGTCTAATTCAAAATCAACAAAAACATACAAATCCCCTTAACTTGTATCTGTTCTCCAGCTTACTTGACTCTTGACAAAACAACAAAAACATACAAAGATTTCACACTTGAACCCACTTCTTCACTTCTTTCTTGCTTTCTGTTTTTCTGCTTCCTTCACAAAAGCCTCTAGTGGTTCCAATCTCCCACCCAACTGATCAACCTTTTTCTCAACTCTCTTAACCACTGTCATCATTTTCTTCAGGGTCTTCATCACATCTCCCACTTGATTCGACTGCGCAGTTACCTCAACTCCATCTTGGGCCTCTACCGTATCTTCTATCTCTTCTTCCACTTTTTTCCGAGCCGCAACATCTTCATCGAACATGTCTTTGAAAAGACCTTCAACCCTTCATCTATACATCCCAACTGTCGACTGTTAGATCAGCCTCATCAACATCGTCTTAATCTTCCATAATATCTTCCAAGAGATTGTCTTCATGTCGACTTGTGGTGGCAATGATGCTGTCAATATCCTGTACAAACAGAAAAAATTGTTCAAACTTCCAAAAGTTTTACCTAAGTAATACCTTAGTTCTACCATACTTCTACAATACTTGTTCAAACTTACCAAAGTTTTACCTAAGTAATACCTTAGTTCTACCATACTTCTACATACTTGTTCGAACTTAGTAAACATATACCTAAGTTATACATAAGTTCTACCATACCACTGAATAACTCTAAAACTTACAGTATCGTGACCAAGTTCCTTGTTTATGAGTGCGAGTGACATCCCTTTCATTCAATTTTGTTTGTATGTGTACCTGCACATCTTCGGACACTTCTCGTCAGCTCTGTCAACAGTTTCTCTAAACAGATTTCCCAACTTAGGAATTGGCTCGAATGCAAGAACTTACAAAACACAAGATTTTAAAATACAATTACTGGTCAATCAAAACAAAATTTGAATTTCATTTTCTTCTCTTACTTACCTCTAGTGGAACACAAAAACCTGGTTGAGGCCATAATGTATTCTCTTTCACCATCCCTCCAAAATGCTCCGTGGTGTGAGAGATTTCCTTCAACATGTAATACTACAAGTATCTCCCCCATGGAAAGGTCTTGCAGAAGTCCAGATCATCAACGACTCTCTGGAAAAATTCCATTACATTTGGAGCTCCTTTTCCAACATTCGTTTGGGCGAAAACGACACTTCCTAAGAAGAATAGAACTACCATCTTTAGTCTGTCTCTATGGGGTCCCGTGTTCACCAGCTTCTCTTTCACATCCTCTAACCTTAACAATTTTCCTTCTTTGAAATGATGATTCACAAACTTTGTCCCACCACACTCCTTGTAGTCAAAAGGATAGTTGCAACAGTTAAATCCAGATATCAATGCATGTTCCCTCAGCCCATAACGGATGGGAACACCATTGACGATAAATCACATTTCTCTCTGCTTACTGCTGTCGGCTGTCCTCACCAACAACATCCACATACCTTGAAGCTTGTGGTTGCTCAGACTTTTCATGTGGAAAACGTGTTTGAATTGAGGATGATCCTCAAACCAGCTCCTCTCCACGTTAGATAGCTTCGGTTTCAGCTCCTTAAGGGTCTTAATTGCGTCTACTATCATACACCTTGTCCCAACCTTGATTATTTTCTTGTACTCAGATAGAGGAAATAACATTTTTTCTGGTTAAATGGCATCAGTTTCCTGCAAAAAAATTCAATTTTAACATATTTATAGCACTCATACATCAAAACTCCAATTTATTATTCCTAACTTTTTCAGTATTACCTAGTCTTCCTATGTATTCCTAGTTTTACCGAGTAATCTCATAGTCTTACCATGTTTACTTAGTATTACATACACTCTTTACTCAATATTCTATAGTTCTACCATAAAATTTTACGCATCAAATTCTATTGCTAATTTGTTACCTCTCCATGCTCTGATACTGCTGAAGTATGGGCCTCCGCGGTCACTTCTATTGGTTCCTGAACATTGTTTGCTACATCCTTTCTCATGTTTCCTCCTCTGATTCGCCTTCTTCTTCTTGTTGTTGTTCTTCTTCTTCTTCTTCTACTTAATGTTCTTCTTCTTCTTCTTCTACTTGTCCTTCTTCACCATCTACATTATCTTTAGAGCAACCCATATCATTGTTTTCATCACACATTGCCTCCTCCCTTTGGTTATTTTCATTTGAGACAGTCGTTTCAGAGGAATCCTCATTATCGTTCTAGGGAAGATCAGATTGAGCTCCACCTCCAATCGCAGAATCCACTAGAACATTTAACCCCATCTCCTCCGTCTCCATCACATTCTCCGGAGCCGTCGATGAGGGCGGAGAGGCTGTCCTTACAAAATTCACTTTCAAATCCTTCGTTTTCACCTTCTTCACACCTTTTGCCTTCTTTTCCTCTTCCTCCGTTTGTTTCTCTTCCTCGGTTTGTTTCCGCTTACCCAACCTCGTTTCTACCATATTCGACAGCTCGATCTCCTTCCGCTGATTCGATTCGAGTGAGACATAGATATCAGAATCGAGGTAGTGAGTGGAGTTAGTGAGTGATGAGTTCGTCGATTTTGAAAGAGAGAAACAAGAGGACTCGATTTGGTTTTGTTTGGGAATATGAACTAGGGTTTGCTGTTTTAATTTTAAAATTTGGGTGGATGGGTTTTCTAAAACCGACATATTTGGTTTGGAAGGTTTGGTTAGACTGGTTAAATGGTTAGACCATTTCGGTTTGATTGATTTCCCAATTTTACCGGGTCGGGTGAATTATATCCAGATACAAGTTGAAAATATTTCAACTTCTCACGGGTTTTGTATCATTTATATATTTTTTGTATTTAAAATAATTAATTTTACTTTATGTTTTTACATGGGTCTTAGGGAGATTCAGTTTTGAGTTTTGGGGACTATAGAGGAGTTGCCTCTCTTCTACGCCTCCATTCTGTAATCGGTATAATAGAACTCCCTGATCATTCGATGATGCTCTTTAATCTTTTTCAATGGTTTCCTTTTACCTCCTTTCATTCTCCTCCTATATAAATCACTACATATAAACCTATAAATTCAGAGAAAATCAGAAAGCTCTATGGAAAGAGATCACGCTATAACCGTGACGTCTGCTAAATCCATCGGAAATATGGGAGTAGTATACAATAGTTTGTGCTTTATATGATTTGATTTTTTATTGCATTTGTATATAGAATATTTTTCTGTCTATTATTATTGTTTGTTTCTGATGGCTGTGGGTATTGGGTTATGCAGTGTGTTCAGGAAAGTGAAGTTAAATTGAGTGATATTTAGTTATGTATAGCATCATGTTTCATAGTGCCTTGAACAAGACATGAACCAAGATCGCTTGGTCTCATGGAGCCAACATAATTACACTGATAAAGAGGAAAGAAGGTTGATCATCTTCGAAGAACTTAAGGTAATACTAATTACCGTCAACTCCAATTATGATTTTTTTTAGTCAAAGCTACTTCCTTTTATCTTTTTCCCTGAAAAAAATGTATGATTGTGTAGGCAAAAGAGGTTAAAGATGTCCCTAACAAGAACACAAAGAAGGGTTCTGGGTTTAATGTACTGTGGCGGGTGCCAGGGATGGACCATGCTGGTATAGCTACACAGGTTTGCCATATCACAGCATTGTTCTCTTCTAGTAACTATAAGAATTCATCGCTGTAGAATATTTACTTTTTGCACATTGTTCTATCATTACCTCAATTTTTGTATTAACAATCACAGTGAGGTTGTGGTCAAGGACGGTGCGGACACATTGGCTGCAATCCAGGAAATGAATGTTAAGTGTTAACGATTATGATCTGTGGATAACAAGGAAAAGATAAGGTAAGAACTATTAATCCAAAGATTTTAGAAGGGCTTGGTGAGTGGAGTGAGAACTACCAGCTTGGAGTCATCGGAGAAACTGTGGCTGGAGTATATTTGCATCAGATGGTTTGGTGTTAGTAGTGCAGCAACAGGTGAGGAACCGGAAGGTCGTGATGCTTTCTTTCTTGAATGGCAATTTTGATTACAAGAGTTTAGTGTCTTCTTGGTTGTGTTTTAGATGATTAGTTAGAAACAAACATAATCGATTAGGTTTCTTTTCTTATTTTAGTAGAACTAAATAAACATGCTATCTTTTTTATATGTAAACATTGGTTTAATATAAATCATAAGTAGAAAAATAATGAAATTTACTTGCGAATTCTCTTACTTATAACTTTAACAAGGTCAACGAAAAAATAGAATACACTCTTTAAATAATTAATTAATTAATTTAATATAAAAATTAATGTTAAAAAACATTTTAACATTTTCAGATAGCATGTCTATTTATTATTAAATATAGTAACATATAAAATATTTAGTAATGTATGTTTTAAATGCTAACAGCAGCAGGCAAAAAAAAAAAACTCAATATTAGTTTTTTTTTTTGTGGTGTTTACTTAATTTTAGATATGATCTATTATAAGGAAACAAATAACAATACTTTTAATAAATTAGCTTCATTTCACATTGTTTAAACCAAAAAAATTCTGGAAAAAATAAACAAGTTAAAAAATAAAAGTACTACGTAACTTGAAAACAAACATTCAAAAATGGATAAATAAGCATGTTTTGTAACTCAATCAACATTAATCCATGGTTTTGTGTGGTTTTTGTGTACAGACAGTTACCATCAGTCTACTTTGTATCTTAGAGAAAGTTATTATAAATATACATTGGTTAATTTTCAGAATATACATTGGTTGATTTTAACGAAATCATATATATTTTATGATCACCAAATAATAAAAAGTTAAATTTTGAAAATATACATTGGTTGATTTTAACGTTAAAACAGTGTTTGAATTTTTTTTGGAGCACTTTTTTTTTGTGTGTGCACTAGACAATATTTGAATAAAACATTAATTTA